GAACTGGTCTAAAGTGATAGAGCAGAGAGGATTACAGGATGGTGTTATTCGACTCAAGTAACAAGAACTGGATTACAACAATAACATATTATCATTAAATAGCATATGACATTTTATGAAGTCGGAATTATTCAGATAAAAAAATAATTCCAGTCGTATACTTTTGCATGCCGTGCTAAAACGGCCGTAAAATATTAGGTTGCCTAGAAAAAATAAAGAGCAAATTTCTTTGACAAATAATTGGTATCGAGTGAAAAAATAGCAGTTTGCGATCATGCGCTTATTAAAGTAGATAGTCTACAATTGGTAAATAAGTATTTCAAATGATGATAAGAACAATAGATATGTATCAATTTGATATTCTTATAACATATTGCTTGAATAGTAATATTTTCTACAACAATTTAATATCTGCTTTATAAAACGTCGCTTTTCATTGACGTTTTTATAGTTTTATTATATACACGGTTGCTGTCAATTTACGAAGAAATCACACTTTTCTGTAAAAAATAAAAATAAAAGTGTGCAGTGTTATAAGTTCGTTATAAATATTCCTGACAGGTTATATAGTCGTATATAAACGGTTGTTTGCAATATAACCCTCGCCTAAAACTCTGTATTAGTACTAATATAAATATTATTATTTATGCAAATTATATCATGTATCTCACACTTGAAAGCAACATTCAAGTTTTATATTCTCACGATTTGTTATTATGTCTGATATAAAATACTATCAGCGTAATTATTCACTGTTTTGATCACCCATTAAAGACCATTACTCATTAAGAATATGTTGCCTTACTTTTTTTCTAATCCGTGAAAGAAAAATAAACATTTAGTTAAGGTTAGAGTAAGATTTTCTTAACTATTGCAAAGTATTAGAATAAATGACTATGTACAGATTTTACTAACTTATAACAGGATGTGAAACACACGAAATATAAACTATGTACATGTAATATATTAAATATTTATGCATTTTAAATTGTTGTGACAATTTACTTTATGTTTAAAAGCACATTATGCCTAGAAAATCCTATTTTTTTAATTATTTAGAAATGTTGAACATTTGTTAAATTATGTTTAAATAATGGGTTAAATGCATGTTAGACGTTTTTTAGAATAACGTTATGTGTCGTAAAGGAAGCAACTGAAATCAAAGTAGTATACTTGCTTTTATACAAAATAATTATTCACTATCATTATATCAATTGCCAACTGAACTACAGATGCATAAGATAGTCCATATATATTGTTAATTAGTATTTTTTAGAAACTGAAACAAAATATCAAAAATAAATAGTTTTTGAGACATGAAAAGTATAAAATTTCTGAGGCATAGTGGACCTATAAGATACAATCAATGGCAATATGTAAATGGAATAAAACACTACGGTTACAAAATCTAAGAGAGTCACTTGAATAATTCAATATTTGACATTTGGTTTTAATTAACAATATTTAACAAAACGTCAGTCCAAGTGTATATATGGTTGTATGGGGGATAAAAACCAAATAACATTAGTACTTTCAATTAGTATTCCATTTTACATGAATAAACAATACTTAATGCGGATTTCGAAATTACTGCAAAAATAGGAACGTTAAATTGATTCAATGTTTATGTAAAAAAGAGTTCGGCAGTTTGTTGTTGTTTTTTTATTGTCGGCAGTTCTTTTTATATGTTGGCCTTAACATTCCACGTTATCAACTATTTGTCGGCCACGATTATAATAGTCAATAGTTAGCAAAATTACCTAGTGACAATAGTTTAGTTTAAACTTATTTTTTTTCCTTTAATTTTTTACAAGATGTACAATGCAATTATATAGAAAAACAAGAACGTGTTTGAAACACAAAAATAGTGACAATAGAGAAATAACCCATGAGACCAGTGCAGAACAAGATTAGTGGGCAAATCCAATCCGTCTGATCATGGACGGTACGTTTCGGTTTTCAGTCCGTACTTTAATGGTAGTTGGTTTTACACAAATTGAATTATGGACAAGTCCTTTTACAGGCACATTATGCTTCAAACTTGAGTTTAATAACATTTGAATAATGGGTTTAGGGCATGTTATATGCTTACACCTAAAACAATGTATAACTGAATGTAAATTTAATTATTATTAAATTATTTGGGAAAAATATAAACAAAGTAGCATTGTGTCTTCCATAAAAAATATTTAGCTACTATAACTATATTAATTGCCAATGGCTAAAGAAGCAAATGATTGTTCATATACATTGTAATTGGTCAATGAGTAACTTCTTTTACAACTAAAACAGGGCACCACAACTCGAAATCTTTTAAGAAATGAAATTAAAATCATTTTCTGGGTTCCCAAAATAGGGCCTTAAAGAAAATTCCTTTGCGTAAAGAATTTCATTATTCTAGAGAGAGAACTTTGTCAAGATAATGTCATCATTTTCGTAACCTTAGTGCATTAACTGCTTAACTCCTATTAAAACAAATTAATGACTTAATCTGTTACTGCACTAAGGTGACGATTTGTTTTGTTAAGCTTCTTATGAGTTTGTACGAATTCTTGATTTGTGTTTTACGAGCGTACTGTTTTTGTTTCGCAGCCGTCCTTTCTTTTGTTGCTGCTATCTATGCAATAAAACTTTCAGAAAACTACGTTTCTTAATCAGCTTCGAAACTCATTAGTTTATACAACTAGGCTTAGTGTTGTACCAAGTTTATTGTTTGCTTGCTAAGTGTACAAACATATAATTTACTTGGCGTTTTCAGCAATAAGTTTTGTTTGTCTGGCATTCAATTACATTAATTAAAAGAGAAAATCTTGGCAATATGTCACACACAAATGGAATGTTCAAGTAAAACATATAGATGTGTAAGTTTACAAGATATGTCTGAACCGAAAGGTCGAAATGACTTTTAAGGAAGTTTTTCAATAAACAGAATTTGAGAATTGAATAAATATAATTTAATTTTTAACTAAATACACTCAAATAACAAATGACAAATAGGATTCTACAAATGCAATTTGTTCCATTTCCATTTATTTTCAAGAACAGAGTGAATTTTTACTTCAAAACATATGTAACGAAACATTGGTATACAGTTTTTATGGCTCAAATGCTGGAAAATGGACATAATTTTTATTTTCAAATACTTGTTATTTGTCTAGAAATTTCTGTCAGATTAGTTAGTATTTCGGATGACCATCAATATACACATTGTGCTCATCTTTTACCGAAAATAATTTAAGTAAATCTCTATTTGCAATGTATAATCTATAATCTATTTCAAATCTCTTATACTTTCCTCTTTTCATTGAATTTTTTACCACTTGTCATGATAACATTATTGCGAAACTAAAAGCATTGAATGGAAATTTATATTTATTTTATATTCTTTTCCTCCCGTCAGTCCTTTATTGATGCATCAATCACTTATATGAGATACAAAACTAGAAAAAAAGGAATGCCGTTGGCAAATAACTTAATGGAATATTCCAGACATCTAGACAAAGATAATTTGATAAGTAAACTGAAAGTCCGTCAAGGCTTACGGTTGGGTTTTTTGTAACCAATACATATTCTTTGTTATTTCATTTCGGCGTGTACTAATAGAGATAAAATATAAAATTATCAAATAATTCGAATTGAATTTTGGCTATCGCCTCTTTCAATATGACATTATGTTGTTGAATATCTCATAATATTCTGTCGTTGAATATCTCATAATATTCTGTCGTTGAATATCTCATAATATTCTGCCGTTGAATATCATATTATAATTTGCCGTTGATTCAATGGCACATTAGCCACACAAAATAGTTTTTCTGTGAGAATGCAATATTGTGCATATTAAACGGTTCTTGGCAAGTCAATGAAATGATTTTTTTTTAATCAAAACATTATTATTTACTATTCCGTAGCCATTGGGAAACTAGTAGTTTCCAAAATTTAAAGAAAGACAGAAAATTGCAATTGTGTAAAATGACATCATATTTATTGTGAGGAATAAAGTTCCTGAAATGTTAAAGAGTCGTTAAGTCCACTGTATTTAGAACAGAAATAGAAAAAAAGCTCTCTTCAGAACGCCCAAATACATCAAATTGAACACAGAAATCCTTTTAGTCGCAAGCTGGCCTAACATACTTTGGCACTTAAAAATGTATACAGCTATACGTATATTGGTTTCTTGCAAATATGTAAAATTGTTTGTTAATTTCCTTATGAGCAAATAGCGAATTCTAAAATAATTACTGAATGGTTCATATTCTACATAAAATAGTAGCATTTTATTTCATTTTTAAACATTAGTTGTCCTATTTACCTGCTTTATTCAAACATTTGATCTGACTACCCCTACAATGATCGAGCAAAAGTATTGGAAACAATACAATGTTCCGTTTTTATGTTTTCTATATATCAAAAATGTATGGGTATAAACTTCAGTTATAGCTATTGTTCACAACCGATTTGTCAATCCTTTTATGCGTATTTTCGAAGTAATGTGGCAATTTGTTTGTAACCCAGATTTGCGTGGATATACAAAACAGTTTGAAGCTTTATACTGTATTTATTAGTGTTAGTACAAAATCCGTTTTTAATTCCTTATGAATTATTATTTGTATACATTGACTTGAAAGGGAATAAACGTAAATTATACACATAATTAACTTGTGTCTTGAATTAATCTAAATAGGCAATAGAAGGCCATATTTTATTACGCATGGATATATTTATGTACATTATATAATTTATCTTAAACAAAATGAGATACATTACAGTTGTTGACAATAACTTTATTTGTGGTCTTCTGATTTTATTACGGCGTTATATATGGCATCAGAAATAAAATTATGAAAAAGTTATCATCATCATCATCATCATCATCATCATCATCATCATCATCATCATCATTATTATTATTATTATTATTATTATTATTATTATTATTATTATTATTATTATCAATGTTATTTACTTTTAAAAAAAATAACTGTCTGAATTTTACTTACCATGGAATGGCGCCGTTTCATCATACACTGCCCACATTTGTGCCACGAAGAACGGCGACCAGCATAAATTATAGCACAATATTACAGTGAGTGTTAACTTGATGGTCTTTAGCTTTGCTCTTGTTATTCCTCCTCCTGCACGTTTCCTACTTTTTGCAAGTTTTCCTATGTCCGTTCTTTGTGGAATCTGCTCGCGGATATTTGGTGCTCCGGTGAAAAACACGCCACTCGTTAAATCTAATTGCTCCGACTTCCGGTATTTTCTCCCATCATCCAGGCGCTTGGATGAACGAAAACGCTTGGATATTGTTGTAATCCTTTCGCCAACTTTGTTACTTTTCCACACAGCTATACATATGCTTCCATAGCAAAATATTAAAATTAAGGTTGGAATTATGTAAACTAGAACTGTGAATGTTGTGATATAAAACGTTAAAGTCCATTCTGGCTCAAAAGTAGCCCAACAGTCATATATGTCATAAGGAGTGAGTTTATAAGAAAAAATAAAGATTTGTGGAATGCTAAATAGTAAAGAAAGCGTCCAGGCGATTATGACCATTTTGTTCACGATCTTTGAAGAGTATTTCCGGCTAACTAGTGGATGACATATCGCTAAATATCTGTCAATAGCTGTCATAACCAAAATATAGGACGAAGCGTAGATTGTAAGAATCTGAAATATAAGGCAATTGAATTGTTATAAATGTTCAATAAAATTTAAGATGGAATACACTTGATTTATTTCTTTTATCTTATAAATGAATGTTAATGGTGAAACAAAACAATAATTAGTACTGGCATAGCGATCTCATTTCATCTACTCTGTTGTGGTCGGAATTTCAATATACAGTAAAACTAAACTAAAATCTACAAATTTACATTAATATTAAAAATTGATAGCTTGATTAATATGAAAAATTGATAGCTTGATATAATTTATTGCAACTAATATTTTTCTTTCTCTGTTTACATATCGGATATACATGTATATCGGAAACACAATTGCGAATAGCCCGTACAATTACTTGTCCGGTATAAGAAGCGGGCAATGTATGACAAATAGCTTGTAAAGTCACTTTTAGTCAAGGTGAAAGCCAACTGCCCATGGTAACATATTTTAATAGTAATTAAGCAAAGTATCGTTAATAGAAGTATTAAATATGAATACAAAAAATTAAGAGAATTAAAAGAAAATAATCCGGCAAGGCACCAGTGAAAATAGGGAAAATAAATTTCATTGCACTCAAAAATATTTTTTACAATGAAACAATACGGAAAATGAAAATATGCATTGTATTTCATCAAGATTTTTTGATATTTATTTTATGCATTCGTGTATGTATTTTTTTTTAAATATTCCACGCATACTATATTTATACAAAATGCAAAATGGATAAATAAAACTATAAAGATGTGATCAATTTAATTCTAAATTCATGTGAAATTGCTAGTTTAGTTTAATCATATTTTATTGCTAATATATACATGTAAATATACAGAGAAACAAATTGATTTCGAAATAACAAATAGCAAAAGGGTTGGGGCTAAGTATTATATAACTATAATACGCAGGTCTGAGGTATATTTCCTTATGGTGTTATATTTAAATTTATTTTGTGGAAAACTTTTTGGTAATAGTTTAATAGTTTTCGTGTCAGTTAAAATAAATAATTTTAAAAAATGAGTTTTTATTCATTATTAATTACGCAACGAGTTAATAAAGAACGAATTAAATATATATACTAGATTTACCTGCATGTATTTCACGAGCCTACACAATATGTCTCCGCCTTTAAAAACAAAGGTCACATCCCACGCCAGCTGCGGAAGGACGCTCCCGAAGGCCACAAACAGGTCGGCAATGCTTAGATGTAACATTAATAAATGCATACGAGTTAGAGACCCTCTTTTCAACACCAGAGCGCCAAGTACTGTCCCGTTGCCTATCACAGCTAATACAAAAATTACACTTTGAACAATAATCTCGATTTTTGCCAAATTTTCATCTCGTGTAAATTCGACATTACTCGAATTTAGATAATAATCATTAGTTGTATTTACATATGCCATAGAACTGTTTTCGTTTAACACGCTTTCATTTGTTGAATTTTCCATGATTGAATTAACTTACATTTTTATTGCTCTAAATTTGCGTATTGTTTTACAGAATCATTTTTATCCTTTAATATATATTGTAAATGTCTCAATAAGAATAGTTAACTTTAAAATAAAGCACTTAATTAACTAGTGCTGTCTTCCATACTATTTCTTCTTCTACTTCCAGGTAGGTCGCGAGTTGATCGGCACGTGTTTATCTACAACTATTTTTCACATTCCAGTATTTGTCTACAATTAATCCTCACTAGAAACCACGTGCTAACAATTGCTAACAATTTATAAATATGTTACCGTTTCCGCTTTAAAACACAAATAAACCACTTACAATATTGTAATTGTTTTCTATCACTTAACTGTTTGTCTTCAGGGTGATCTGTTTCACCTTAAATATAATGTAACTGGCTTTTTTCAGTCAGTAATTTTTTCAGTATATTCTAGATGTAGAATAAAGAAAAAAATTCAACATATTCGCAAACAAAAGAAAAACTATTGTAACATATCATTTGTAAATGGTTCTTTAATATTCCTTTTTTTTTATTAGAATTTTTATAAAAATTATTACCAAACGTTGAGCAAGTTAACGATGTCCAAAATATCTGTATCTGCATGCCTGTCTGAATTTTGTTAAAGCTTTCAATCGCTGCGACGCTTTAAAAAGGCGTATATGTAAAACACAATATTAACATTAATTAATTCTGTGTCTGTGATAAAATATGTTGTAATAAAAAATGTCTAAAATCAGTCAAACATTACAAATTCATACACAAATATGATCCCTTTTTTACATAAATATCAAAATTTAGATATTTGTCAGAAATGTATTACTGCCCCGGAGACAAGCGCGTCGCTTTTATCTCTGTGAAAAAGTATTGGAAATTATGGATGAAAAGCTCTTCTGTTCGCAGGCTAGCACACACAAACTGCCAAAGTAATATATGATTGATTAAGATTTCTATACTGATACGATATGCTAAATTCCATGTACCAAGATTTGAATAATTCATCCTCATACGCATGATAGGACAATCTGTTTTTATTTACTAATATACTGTAGCGGTCCTTAAAATTATTTTCTTTCTGGTGTTTATGTGGTGTGTCATGTACCTATGGGGGTGCCTGATGATTCGAGTGCTATTGGGTGAACTTCGACGACCTATATACTATGCTATCACTCTTCTTCAATAGGGTTGTGAACCTGGTACCCTCGGAATACCGTACCCCTGCTCTGCAGGAGCTATCCAGTCGCTTACACACGATCTCCCGCATTTATATGCGTAAACTTAGCTGCTCTAAATAAATATAACAAAAGTATGAGCTTTCAGATAATAAAGTTTCCTTGCGTTAATTAAACCAGGTACATGTAGAAACGTGTTCTTTGGCTTTCCAACCACTATAAATCAAGCAATTGCAATAAAAAATAAAATTGATGAAAAATGTTGATACCAGCAAAAATAAGGATGATTATTGTCTACCTTTTTGTCATCGTTAGAAATTTTGTGTGGGTTTTTATTTTTCCAATATATTAGAACCCCCTAGGTGTCTGGTTGTATTTATTGGATTATGATATTTTGTAATTTCACCAGTGACATGAACATTAAACTTACAATTTTGAAAGTAGTGAAATACACAAAGAATGTTTAGAAGGTTCAATTTAGAAAAGAAGTTTAATTTATCACATGTAAATATTGCCGTTACCCGGTTATGACTTAAACCCGTAAACCATTTGTTAAGACGCCGACACTTTAACCATCTGGCCACCGTTCTTATTCAGTTATATTATATAGTGAGAGAAGTAATTATTTATTCATTTTCATCTTTTTTATTATTATTATTATTATTATTATTATTATTATTATTATTATTATTGTTATTATTATTGAAACATTGGATTTGAAGCATGTAGTACAATATGTCTTCGTGCTATCAGAAGAGAAGAGATCTGAGAAATTACGTAAAAATAGACGTCGTATTTTTTAAAGTCAATATCACTTATTGACTGTTACCAGACTGATATTGAAAAAAATAATAGATAGCAAAGCATTTATTTTCCGTTGACTCACAGGTTTGCTGACTTCTGATAATTTATTCACTCAAACACATGTGTACAATATGTTGATTTTCTAATATAATTAATTTAAAACATTAGTTTTCCTGTTGTAAACATATACAGTATAGTTTTACCCAAAAGCTTTTTTTTCCACGTGGCATGAAACACATGGCATACAATACGAGAATTAACTAATTTAAAAGAAAGATCAATGCTGATCACTCAATGTAAATAAATATATAAATCTATTATAAAATTATATTATCATATTAAGTGTATTTGACGAAATTTGTTTTTTTTCTCGATTAATTTCATTAAAATAAAAGTATAAAATATAGTTGTAGTTAAACGTTATTATGATGGATTTATATATAAGTCTATATACGAAGTGACTTGTCTTTTTCTAATAAAAGAACATATGTTATATGCATACTATTCAAAAAAATAGTTTTATTGTACAAAGAATGCATGCCCTTCACTTTCATCGAATCTTATATTGTATTTTATCCGCAATTCCCTGATTATAGAGGGATGAAGCTAGAGAATACAATATGTTTACAAAGTCAATTCAAACGTTTTATGTGACAGCCAAACAAAACAAAAGATCACAGTCCTGCACCGCTACAAAGCCGAAAGTACGAAAACTGCTTAATGTAAAAACTCCGAGTTTACAGAAACGCATAACACTAATCCAAAGGTATTTTGTATAAAACAGAATAAAAGAAAGATGATCTTGGAAATAATCTAAAACGTATGTGAAAGTATAAATCCGCATCAAATCTTATGCAAGATAATCAATGTTTATTATCATTTGGCGGGAAAAAAGCACGCGCTTCATGTAAGTCGTCTGCGAATTGATAAAGGCTTGTTCTGATTAAAATCACGTCGATGTATTCCTCCGTGCGTGTTTTATACTTATGAATTTATATACTTATGAGCTATATTTATAAACTTGTGCAGTCAAGTAAAAAAATAGTTCACATCAGATATATATACTAGTATTTAAAATTCATTTTTATTTCTGCTAAAATAGAAATAATTTGTAATCAAAGTCATCGTTCATTTTCGTTCTCTTGTTACTACTTTAATATTATATTATATTTGTTGAAAAAAACATTGCTTTATAACAGAACAGAATAGAACAGAATGATTATAATCTAATGCATACTGTTAATTAAAGTAGTTTCATTGTTCATACTGTAAAGTTAGCACATAAACAAATAAAAAATATGCTTCAAAAAGACTTATCGTACCATTTTTTTATTTTATTTCTATTTTTTTTTTCATTTTAATCATTTATTTTTTCTAATTTTCTGATTTTTATTTTTATTGTTTTTGTTATTTATTATTATTATTATTATTATTATTATTATTATCATTATCATTATCATTATCATTATTATTATTATATTTTAATTTTTTTTTTTACTGTCGCTGTATTAAAAATAAATTTTATTTGCTCAAAACAAATTACACACGAGCTTCTCATATTTCAGATGCTTTGAAAAACATTTGAAGTAACCGATTGTGTTATTTTTTCATTATTATTTTCTTACGTCAATGAACCGCAAAACAAAACAGGTTTCTAATTTGTCTATGAACAGACTATTTCCCCTCAAATCAGCTTTTGGCAGCTGTCTATAAATACAAATAAACATGTTCAAGTAGTTTTTTAAACATTCACCTTTCAGAATATATTGATATTATTATGTTGTTTACAGATCGTAGATGGAATTGAAGAATTAGCCGCTGGTTCTCTCTAGACATTCTTACTGGCCCGATTGATCTACCATTTATCTCTCTTTCAAGTAAGACAATAAGCCGAAAGGAACATTGTTTCTACAAAAAATTAAATTTAAGAGAAATAAGGTAATCGTTTCATTGATTTTGTCTATTATTATTATTATTTATTTTACTTATTTATTTATTTATGTAGGCAGGCAGACATTCATTCATTTATTCATTCATTCATTCATTCATTATTTATTTATTTATTTATTTATTTATTTATTTATTTATTTATTTATTCATTCATTCATTCATTCATTCATCCATCCATTCATTCATTTGTATACAAATAAAGGATATTAAAGTTTTTTCTATAAAAACAACATCTATTTTCATTAAGTGGTAGGAAAATAGATATTTCATGAGCGACGATAGCCACAAATGAAATATTATAATTTTTGTACCACAATATGAAAATAAATCTTGTATTTATAGAATGAAACTTAAATTTTCTGTTTATCGTATACATTTTTAGGTATGTAAGTTACACTGAATGAAGTTAGTGTTACTATATGGAAGGTCAGCCTGATTAAAAACATTGGAGGTCAGCCTGAGTAAAAACATGGGTGGTTAGACTGAGTCGAAACAGATAAAAGATATGATAAGAATATTTAATTTCAGTTTCATTCACATTATATATACACATACATCATACATTTTACATATCTAATCTACAGTTAACATATAAGTGACCAAACAATTAATGATTTGTAATAGACTACACATGTACATGTATATATTTATATGGACATAAAACACATGTACATTGTAACATCTAAAACCTTAAACTGTCTATGTATAAGTTAACACATGTCTAAAAAATATTAAGATTAGATTTACTAGAATTTGTTCAATAACCTTATGCATGACAATGCATATTTCACAATTTAAATGTAGACACTACACATCTATCATACATATATGAACATGTATATATCTAATATATGATTTGTTAAAAGAAATAAAATTAGTAAAACTGCTTATATAAAATAAGTAAAACTGCTTATCGCCTATGACCTGGAATATAAAAAAGGTTTTCCTATCTTTTAAAATGTTATAACAGGTTTTGGCAGCAACATACATTCATTTATCGTTACTAAGAGTCAAAATTAGTTTATCATTGTCTAACATATTATCATACATTACATCTGATACATCATTTAAAGCTGAGACTAAAACAGCCCTGGCTTCATCATATAAAGGGCAATAAAAAAGAACATGTTTTCCATCCTCAAGAGCACCTTTGCAGTTAAAACAGCATCTTTTATCTAAAGATAAAATTTCATATCTTCCAGTCTCTTATCTGAGAGGGGCTACACCACATCTTTTAGTATATCCTGATCTATATTGAAGACGTATATTCTTAAAAAGTATTTTGCAGTTTAAAAATCTGACTTAAATAATCTATATGTTCTGAGTTTGTTACCACAATTTCCTCTAACGGACTGATCCCTACCAAACATATATTTCCATTTTTTTTCTAACTCAAACAATTTGGACTCAATCAAGGATATTGCAGGCTTTGCATTCCCGATTTGTTCATTCATTGAGTATTCACTATCAATATCTTTCGCCAATTTCAACATTCTACTGAACTGTTTCTAACAT